GACTTGAAAGAGCATTTAGGAATCCACGTGCATGAACAACTCCCACTTCATCATTGTGCCTAGAAGAGCTAATGCATTCTTGGATGCTTAGACAGAGTAGTGAATGGGAGTAGAGGAGTGATTTTTACCTCGTTGGTGAGATCAGTAATGGAACATTCTGTCCAATTCAATGTTTAAAAATTGGAGAAGGTACAGAAAAGTTCCACAAAAAATATTCAAGGCCTGGAGAAAACAGTTTACTGTGAGAGACTTATTGTTCAATCTGTTCGACTCATCAGATAGAATATTGAGAGATGGCTTGATATACAAGTACTTTCCCAGGGAGGCAATATCAGGTACTAAAGAAATCTAATATCAGAGAAGGTCAAAACAGGAACCAGTGACTGGAGACTGAAGCCAGACAAATTCAAATTTGAAACAAGGCACTTATTTTTAACTGAGAAAGAAATTAACCAAACTAGCAAGGGACTCCCTCGATAGCTTCACATCAAGACAAGATGTCTTTCTGGAAGATATCCTTTAGAAGTTACTGAGCTCACTACAGGGTCAAGGTCAAGGGCCCAGTCAAGCCTAGCAGTTCATCAAGGTTAGTATGGTGAAGGCATCCCAGTTGCTGTACCCCAATGGCATAGAAAAGAATGATGTGACTAGCATGCCGTTTATCTGCTTTTGACTCTCTTACCCACAGGAACAGGCACAGCTGTGTCACTGGAGGCAACTCATGATTCCAAAGACATAGTGAGACACTTTAATTGCTCTACTATCACACCCAATGCAGGGATAATAGGTTGAAATTCTATGGGCTAGTGATGAAAAGATGTCACGACAGATGATCTGATGGCCTCTTTTGGCTTCAAAATCTAGGAATTGCTGATACTGTATTGTAATGAGAAAAGACAACATTTTTACATATTTTTCCTAGGGCACACAATGATAAATACACAATATTGAACAAGGCAACAGCAGTGTGGTGGCTTTAAACATTTTTGGGCAACATGAAATAAGTATTCCAGGACAGTAATTCAGTGAATCAGCCACTTTTTCAGAGAAAGAAGGGAGAAGTTTCCCAGCATGAATATGCAGGCAACCTTAGTCCACTTCTCTAAAAATATAGCACCTTTCCATAACAATGATTATTTAGATTAGCACATAGAAATTTTGCAGAATGGCTTGGTCTTGATGATGTATGTAGTATGTCTTCTTAGCTAGGTAGAGAAGATAGCTCCAAAACATTGTCCCAATCCATAGATCAGTATTGACTGTAGAAATAATGAAAATAAAGTGAAAAGTGACATGCCGCATTTTTAATTTAGACCCTGTAGTTAATGGGGTGTCATTTTAAACTCCTACAGTTTCTTTCCTCAAATCAGGTCTCTTTCAAAATCCTTAACATTGGAATGCATAAGATATAAGAATATTAGAGAGGAATGCCATGTTTGAAAAACAATGGGAAAAACACTATAACAATTATACTTTTTTCCATACAGATATATTAGAAATGTGTTTGTGTATTTCAGACCTCAAGTTAGCATACAGAATAACAGTAATCTCACATAGGGAACCTACTGCTTCTGACAGCTCCACCAACATTGCCTTGTTACTCCTCACTGCATTCCCAGGAGGTATCATATAATTTTTATGGAGACCATTTGTTTTGGTACACAATCTTATTTTAATATTTTGTTCTGTTTTATAAATTATTTTGGGGGAAGGGGGCAGCTTGTAAGTCTACTAACTACATAAATAATATTGCAAGAGAAATTGAGGTGAGACCTGGGTTTAGTGCTTCACAGGTCATAGCGCCCAGTCATGCAATCAAACTGCTGTTCCCCCTTGTGCTAGAAGAAATGTATAATTACTAGTTATCCTAAGGATCTCCCATCTGTACAGCTGTCATGGAGCTACAGGCAGAGATACTGGAGAGGATTCCCTGGCTCCAACTGGCAGGGGGGGCTGTGTGGCATGTTTTAGACTGAGTGATGTTTAGGAGATGGTTCCCTGTGAAAAGTGGTGAACTGAAGGTCCCCGGTGGAGGGAGCTAGCTGTGACTGGGGGGAGGTTGACCCCGGAAGGGATTTTCCTAGAAGTTTTACAAGGGCTAAGAGGGGGCGGGGGGCAGGTCCAACAGTTTTGTTTTATCATATTCTGTTGTCAAAGCATTTGATCACTTTTCCTTTCCACGTAATAAGCCCTTTTGAGGGGGGGTTCTGTTATTTGACTGAAATGCCTGTGGTAAATTGTAATTTCTGGACAAATTAATAACCTGGGCACACCAATCCAGTAAAGTGGGAGGACCAGTAAAGTCACACAAATCCTGGGTGCAGCTCTGGGAGCAAACCCAAGCCCCTAGGGTTTTGTCTCAGCAGCTATTGAATAGTCATTTCAACATTGATGTTAGTGCTACTACCACCCTAATGTAAAAACAAATGTGCTCCAATAATAAGTGGAAGGTGGAGCTACCTTTTGAATGTTACCTGTACCCAAATTCTGTGTAGAGAGTACTCTATGTAGTCAATGCCTGCTGCCTGCTTGCTGTGCACTCCTGGCCAGGAGAGAACATAAAAGGTGAAAATTTGAGTTGAATGGCAACAGTACTTTCCCTGACTCTCAGGACAGATTGGCGTGAATAATTCAGTGTTCATTCATTTCACATTCAACATAAGACTCTGTTGAATGTGAAATGAACCAAGTTGGAAAGCCAGGTGCCACCAGGGAGAATGGGTATCTTTATCTGGGACCCAGAAAGAGCATGGGGAGAAGCCAAGGAAAGTAGGAAAGGCAGACCCCTTCCACACATAAAAGGAATGAGAGACAAAGTGCTGCAGAGGAGGGAGGAGAGAGAAAGGGAGACAGTGAGATGGTCAGAGCTGGTAAAAGAAGGCAAGACAGACAAGAGAGACACTGAAAGAGGTGAGCAGTGGAAGGGAGCCATTTTGCAGGGGCCTCAGTACACTGACCTCCATTCAGCAAAGCACCTAAAAACATGCTTAAATATAAGCCCAAGGATTCCTGTGGTCTTCTGTGTTCACGTATACAAAGTGACTGCACTTTAGTGGCTCCTTTGTGAGAGCTAAGTATGTGCTAAGGATGTAGCCCATACACACAAAGGCCTTGTCTATGCTTACTTGGTTTTGCTGGCAGAAGCTCTGATGACATGAGGCAAGCCACCAGAGCATGAGCACATCGGTACACCGCTGGTGACTGCAGAGTTTGCCCTCAGCAGCTGGGCATTTGAACAGGAAGTACACACTGCAGAAGAGCTTTGAATATGGATGCACGCAAAAGTGTTGCAAAAGGCCGCGGTGTTGGTGGTAAGGTGTAGTAGACAGAGGACACATGCAGATGCACGGTATAGCCCAGGGGCCACTAGATCCATCATGGAGGGGAACACAGGTGAGCAGCTGAGTGCTTATGCCAGCAGGGCTGTGCCTGGCTCTGCTGCCAGCTCTATCCTCTTTGGTGATGAGGTGACACTTTACACCAATACCTCTCAGCTAGGGGAGGTCTTGTAAACAGGCAATTTGCTGGTTTACTGCATGAGACAGGGAAGTGAGCACTAATTGCCTAAATATCATCCACAGGAAGGTGCATGTTCTTCCCAAAGCACCATTTTGCTTGTTTCAAGGAAGCCCCTACAGAAATCTGCATCCAGTGCCCCTCAGTGGAGCTGCAGAGGCACAGAAATATGTCCTGTCCCTTTGCAATGAGGAAGGGTCTGCCAGGCATGGGTGAAGAAAGGACAGTGCAAAGATACAAATGACCTGGGAAAGAAGCATGCTAAAGAGCACCTTCCATTTCACCTGAGCCTCCAGGACTCCTTCCAACATTAGCTTGTTGCTTTTTTTAAAAATTTTATGTCTGGGCCCAAATTAGCCAAATCAGTTCCAAATTCCAACCACTGAGCAGAGGTGAGTAGCTCAGGTCCATGAGGTGTTATCGCCAGTGAGGATCTTACTTCCCAGACTTCAGCTGGGGTCTTCTGATACTCCCAAATCCATGGCAGACATCCTACATGCAAGCCCCAAGTTGGAGGTCTTGGGGTTCGGAAGTCTCACTTGCCCTCAGCCAAGCCATTTATCTTTGTCTCTCATTAGCCAGGAGGCCAAAGGAGCAAGCTAGGGAGAAATCCTTCTTCTCCGTAAGATAAAGGGTGCCACTGAGATCTTCCCACTGCGGGGCAACAGTATAGACTCTGGTGGTGCGGCTGAGACGTCTCACCCTCAACTACACAAAGCCATTCAAGGTGAGGGAGGAGGGGAGCTCCCTTTCCAGGTGCAGCAAAGCCACCTGGACTGACACCACCTCCACTGTGGTGCTGGTCATGACATCTGCCCTGCCAGGCGCCAGCTGGTTGAAGGTGCCTCTAGAGCAGCTCCTGTTCCTGGTCTCTTCTCTGTGTGTGTGTGGGAGGGGGGGGG